ACTTGGCCGACCTAAGAAAAAAATGAAAACATATTTGCGTTTAAATACGTACGAAATATTTTTAGATCTATCAAAAATGTATAAGGTGATTTTAATATTTCGTATACGAGGGGACTTCAATATGCTTTCAAACAATCAATGAAATTGAAAATGCTACAATATAACTGTTCTTCCAGCAAGGAGGGAACTCACCAGTCATAAGAGATAAATTATAAAGATATTTTAGTGGAATAGTAAGAGAGCATAGACAGTGCTTTAATAATACCGGTGGGACTCCATCAGGCCCTGAGGAGAATTTGTTTGGAAGTTTACTTAATTCATCAAACACTGATATAGTGTCAACTTGAATTAGGTTTACGGTCAATGTGTCTGACACAGTCTTTAAAATCTGGAATGGGAGCACCTTTATCTTTCTCATATACACCAGAGAAGAATTCAGCAAAAAGGTTAGCAATTTCGATATTGCCCTGTGCCCTTCTGTTACCGAGATACGTTTCTTGGGGGTAACTCGAAGATTTACGAAGTCTGCCAATGTATCCCCAAAATTCCCTGGGGTTATTACTAAAATTTTTTTCAAGAGATGAAAAATGTTGTTTCTGACAAAGTGTATGTTCAACTTTACATTGATCACGTAGATTAGAGAACAATAAGTAGTCCTCATTTGAATTAGATAATTTAAATCTCAGATGAGCTTTTTTCTTTTGAATAATAAGATCTTTAAGTTTTATTGAGAACCAAATTGGGAACTTGTAGGAACAATTGACAGCCTTCATAGGAACAAAAATATCTAAACACTGATACATATAGCTGTAAAATATTTGACAAGCCTCATTTATATTATTACAATGGTATAATGCATCCCAATTAACTGAAGATAGATAAAGGTTAACAGAATTAAAATTACAGTTTTTGAAATCATAAACATAGTCTTCATAAAAAACTGACTCTTTAAAATAACCAATAGGGACAAAAAATTCATACGGCTTATGCCTGAATGATTCACAAAACAATGGATCGACCGGCGTACATACATTTAGATCAGGTATATGTGAAAAAATGAGATCCAGGAATGTTCCATGTCTGTTTGGTATATTATTGCACTGATGGAGATTTAAAAATGCAAAAGATCCAGAAACTGTATTCGCATGAGATCCATCAGGAAGTATGGTAGATAAATAAACCCCGTTTTGATCATTAGCCCATTGAGCATCTCTCAGGTTGTAATCGCCAGCCAAGATCACAGAACTCTGTGGATGTTGACTTATCAGTTCCTCAAGAAAGGTGCAGTGATATTCATATGCCTCAGCTAATGAACTAGGTGGTATATAGATTCCTCCTATTATAAGCTGATCATCATTCAGTTTAACTTCCACAAAAAGTTGTTCTATGTTAAGCAAATTTGACTTACATATTAGTTTAGAGGGTAGGTTTTTATTGATTGCAATATACACTCCTCCGCCCATAATGTCCAATCCATGCTAATAGCGGTCCTGTCTATAAACATTATAGTTTAATAGATCACTCTCACTAACCAAAAACTTTTTAGATAACCACGATTCAATCAAAATAACAATATCATAATCATTTAGTAGCAAAGAGTCCCTTAACTGAGAGAGTTTAGTTCGAAGTCCACCAACATTATGAAAGTAACATTTTAGGGTACTTCTCAGTTTTTTTGGCTGGTTAGTAGTTTTTTTCACTATTGTAGGCTTATTGTTAATGAATTTGATTGTTTTAGAATTATCACCATTCTTAACCATATCATCTAATTGTAATTTGATTTTCTTGAAATACTCTGGCTGGGCTTTTAATGTTATATAATTGTACATGAAATGTCTTCTTTCAAATGACTTTCCATTAACCTACTGATGTTGGTGTATTTTTGTTGCTGACCAATTTTATTTAGCGCATCTTTCAGCTAAATATTCTTACCTGTGTGTCTTCCAAAATTTCAAGACCCGATCCTGATTTTTGCAACCTATAAGGGTGTTTTTCCTGAATTAATCTTTACCCGGAAATCCGAACGGAAGTTCTGTTGGATTCCGGAACATTTTACCTTATTTTATTATACATTTTATTACGTTGGAAAAAGTATTTTTATTTCAGTCTTTTACAATCGATTTAAATTCATAAAATTTTCAATATTTTGGCATAATATGAACAATATTAATGAACAAATATTAATACAAACGTCTAATGATATTTCTTCTCGTACTACTTTGTTGTTCGGCAGATTTAAATTGAATATTTGTTGAACTAGCACATTTTTTTTGTCGAAAATATGTATTTTAATACACCTTTTATAAATTTAATTAAATATTCTGCTGCAAATCTTCTCAAGCTTTAATAAATTTCCAACTCATTATAAACTCTCAGCCGTCTATCGATCCGAAGCACCGGACGATGTAATTCCCGAAAGGAAATATAACGAAAGTAAACCCTAATGTAAAAAAATCAACGCCATCCTGATTATACCTTCTCCTTAAAGAATATTGTCAATCCTCACGCACTTCGAGAAACGCTTACATGACGAAACTTGACACAAAAGCGAAGGTTGGAAATAAAATAATATACATTCGACGAAAATTACTCCTCTTTACCTTTGGGGAAAATCTCAGGGAGAAATTTTCAAGCAAATTAAAGTATTATGACGTACAATAAAAATAAAAATATCTTTATTTTGGAAACTCGGGTACAAATGGGATATTTTATTAAAATTTTTTCACCGGTGGAAAAAAGGTCTTTCCTTACGTGAATGCTGCTCTGATTTGCTTCACAATCTGTTCTATCCTAAAAAAACCAATTTTCTTCGGTAAATATTTGATGGAATATCAAATACTCGTTTTAAATAGAAAGAAAACTCATTTTAGAGACAACAAACACACAAACTTTCAAATGATAAATTGTTTTCAAATGTGAGTCCATTTTCTATGGGTAAAAATAGAAAAAACGTCGTAAGTCGTAGCTTTTTACCCAAATTCACGAGAAGTAAAACTGGATGTCGATATGTAAACGCTTTGTATAAGTTTACGTCAATTGAAATACGATTTCACTAATTTTGAGTAATTTTTGCAAACATTGTGGATATCTGTTTAAGATGCATTGAATAATATATCGCTTGTACTATTTGGACGATTTTAAAACAGTACTTCTAGATGCAACTTCCAAACCGGAAGTTCGAAGTCAAATTTCTTTATTTTGGGTTATAAGCCTTCATTCGACACTTCATTTGTCTTTCTAGCTATTCTAATAACTGAGGAGTTATGTCCATGGACAGACAGATGGACAGACAGACAGACAAATGGTAAATTTATTACATTTGCCAATTGATTTCGTTAACACAATTATCATTATACAGACAGTTTAATCTACGTCAGAGACCATAATAACAAAATAATAGGACCTCGACCTAACTATCACGGCATACCACAAGTCTCGGTATTATCGGCAATTTTATTTAATATGTAGGTACACCTCTGACATAATATAATATGCAAATAAATAATATCCGACTCAAAATAATACAATATGCAAATGATTTTTGTGTCTATACAGAGAGTAAGAAATATGAAAATGGTAGACAAAACCTAAGTAGAGTATGTAGTTCTCTTTTCCCATGGTACTTAGAGAACGGCTTAAATTGATCAATTGTCAAATCAGCAGTATCTGTCTTTACAAGACACAACCTTTCTCTACATCAAAATATACTTCTTAATAATCAATATTTTACATTTAAAAACCGTCAAATACCTGGGCCTTATCCTGGATAAAAAATTGACTTGAAAACAACACATACAATATAATATGCTCCATAGATGCAACAAAGCTAGTAATTTTCTTAGAATGACAATTATAGTGTGGTGGGGTTGCGATGTTGAAACATCTTTATTGTTTTACAGAGCTTATAAATTATCCATTATAGATTATGGTGCTACTTTCTATAGCTCTGCATCTAGTAATCTTCTGAACAAATGCTGTACATGGCATGGAATCAGATGGAAATGGAGAAGATTTACGCCACGGATAGAGTAAATTATCTTCAACTCCAGTTAGATAACTTACAAAAATTAAATGAAAGCTTGCAATTCAGATCTAGAGAAAAATTTGTCCAAAGAAAAAGAACCTAAGAATAAGGAATTTCATACTGACGATGAGGAATTAGCTAAGGAGACAGAGTTTATACGTGTCAAAAACTTCAAGAAACGTAAAATGGATACTTTATTGACCCCACCACAAAAGAGTCATATATCCAACAAGGAGAAGAAAAAAATAGAAAAACACAAATAACATCTTCAATAATTGTGGATAGTATTGTCGAATTTAGCCAATTTCATGAACAAGTCAGACTACATACTGCTAAATT